GTCTGAGGGGCTCCCTGGCCGGCCTTGGTGCTTCCCGAGCGGGAGATGTAGCTGGAGGAGAAGGCAGGCGAGGGGGGAGGACGCGGGAGGACAATTAAAAGCCCTTTTGCCTCAGCAGAAGCAGCAGCAACAGCAGCGAGAGCTTTGGCCCAGGATTGTCCTCCATCGCTGAGGGGGAGCCACCAGGCCGCCTTGGAGGACGAGGGCCACCCGGCCCTGAAGGTGCCCCGGGCTGATCGCCTTGGATGCTTCCTATCCGTCATTATTATCATTATTATTATTATTATTATTTGGCCCTGAGAAGAAGAATTGAGGCAAAACCCTCCTCCTCCTCCTCCTCTTCTTGCTTGGCTTCCCTTCCCTTCCCCTCCCTCTCGTAATATATATAATATATATATTACACACATTTAAAGGGCCATTTTTAAAGTTGCTGCTTCTCTTCTTGGTGTGTATTTATTTGTGTGTTGGGAGAAGAGTCCAGTGTGGGCAGCCTTCCCTTCCTTGGTGCTGGAGTTGTGTCTGGGCTGCAGCCGGAGAAACGTGACTTCTTCCTATATATATATATATTTTAAGAAAAGAAAGAAATCTTCCCTTCTTTATCCCTCCCTACCTTTTTTCTCCCCCTCCCCTCCTCAAGATGTAAACTATACCTCGGACACTACTACGGGCCTACTACGGATCCCTTTTTGGTGGTGGCTTGTGAGAAGGTTGTGTGTGTTTGTATGGGGTTGGTTTTTTTTTTTTGTGTGTGTGTGTATCTACATTTTTTTTAGAGATGTTTCTCTAAAGTGATTTATTTTTTTTCCCCTCTTGGTGCTTTGCTTCCCATTTGTCTTCTTCATCACCTCCTTTTTTTAAATTTTTTTTTAAAAAAAATATCTTTTTTGACCACCCATCTTTTTTTCGCCACCCAGCAACAAACACATTTTTGGATTTATTGCAAGGAGGATATTGCATTGTGTGCGAAGAAAATCGGATTACAAGAAACCACTACAAACAAGAAAACATCTACAACGCCAACAACAACAAGGAAAGAAGAGGATATTTTCTCTCTCTCTTTCTCTCTCTCTCTTTTCCTCTCCCTTCACACACACACAAACTGGTTGCGGCTTTTAATTCATGAAGCAATTGTCCCCCTTTGCAACCACAATCTGGATCTCAGAATGAGCAAAGAAAGACCCAAGAGGAATATAATTCAAAAGAAATACGTAAGTGGTTACATTACTGTGTCTTTTTATCTTGTTTTTTTTTTCTTTTGGATTTGTGTTGTGGAGGAGTAAGGAAATGTCGGTGAATGTCAAGTTATTATTATTATTTTTTTTTAGCTAGTAGAATACCTAAAAATGTTTCTTTCCAGTGGGCATGAAGGAGAAAAAACTGAAAAGGTCTCCTTTTTTAAAATAATAATAATAGTAATAGTAATGAAAAAGCTGGGTTTGAAATGCCAGATCCGTGTGGCGAGGCCTCAAATGAATAAATGTATTGACCTCAAATGACACAATGATAATCTAGTTTTAGGAGATGAAAGCCACGGAGCTCGAGGGGGCTGCTGCGATAATGCAACTCTGCTGCTTTCTCCGGCGGATTTAACTAATAATATTTCCCTTTGCATGCAAATGGCCACCTTATTATAACATATATATTTTACCGGGTGGGCGAAAGGCACCGTGGTTGTTGGTTGTTGGGGAGAGAAAATGTTAACTTGCCAAGAGTCAGTCCTTGGACTGAGTCCATGTGAAGAATGCCTCTCTCATTCTGGGTTTATGGCTTCCTCGCTTGCATTTGTTCCTCTGCCTTCTTGCAGGAGAAGCAAACCAGTCTGGCTGGGGTCGCCTTGCCTTGCCTTGCCTTGCCTTGCGAGGAATGCATTTGCAAGGCCTGGCTTTTAAGGTTGGCCCAAATGGCATATGGAGGGAGACATGGCTTTCGCATTCAGAGCCAGGCTGGGGGAGCCTGTCTTCTTCTACTACTTCATGGTGCATGTTCCTGGTCTCTTATCATTTGTATGAAGGTGAAGGAATTAATGGGAGGATGATGGTGATGGTGGTGATGATGATGATGGCTGTAGGTACTACCTTTTGGTAGTGGTGGGGAGTGATTTTAAGTGTGTAGGAACAGAGTCCAGGCTGCACATTTAAGGCTGCATGCACACTTACTAGTGACCTTACAAACAAGCCAGGGATTTTTTTTTTTTAAAAAA